GTCTTAGGCAAGAGAAATAAGCGACAGCAGTGTCATTCAGCAGAAAAGAGAAATAAAGGCCTGAGTACAAGAAAGGGTTTGTGTGGTAATAAACACATGTTGGCTCAGTAGGTAGACAAAGTGTTGGGAGACCTTGAAGCCTCTGAAAGAGGAGTTTAAAGTAGACATTGTGTTATAAACTAGGAGGAGCCATTGCAGGTCCTTGACCAGAGGTGTTTAAGGAAAAGTGTAATTACTGTAGTTGCTTGATGTTGACTGATTTGAGGGAAGAGATATTTGCTGTTTGGTTTGATTTCCTTTGTAAATCCTAGTCTCCCATCATTTGCTATTTACCTATCATATATTTACCTATTATATATATATATATCATATATTTACCTATTATATATATAATATATATATATTATATATATATATAATATATATATATATATATATACTGCATCATGGTGCATTGTCTCATCCATCATCTTGTATCTTCATTATCTGATGGCTAAATGAGGAGGTTGGGTAGAACATTCACCTGCGTAAGCTAGAGGACCCTAGAGAGACTTGGAAAGTAAGAACTTTATAACTCTGGCCCTTTTGTTTCTGGTTGCACTAGATACCAGTAGAATTTATTTGATGTGCACAATGCTGCCTTTACCCTCTGAAAGGAGCAGAATTCACAGAAACCATGTAGGCCATAATAAACTGGTCCTGTCGAGGGGTGCACCAGCAGAGGACTAAGGTTGACACACCCCAAAGCAATAGCCTTCAGTCACATCCATCCACAGGAGGCCTTTTATGCTCTACCTATTCATTACTTTCCAATTTCTAGTCACTCAGCTATTTCTTCTACAGTCTGACCCAAGACATAGAGGAGGCCAGGCCTTCAAGAAAGATATTCTACCCATGTATATATATTTCCATCTGTATCACTACATCATTAAGAGCTCTATGTTTCCCTGCTTTGACTTTTTTTAAAGGGAAATGCAAGAAGGAAAGATAGCATTTTAATTTGAGGATGTTTCCAAATGCATTCATTAATTTTATAAAAGTAAAATGCAAACTAGGCATGGTGGTTGCATACTTGCCATCTCAGGCACTGGGGAGACAGGGAGGAAGACTGAAGCAGGAAGCCATCTATTTAAGATGAGCCTCTAACCCGATGGGATATTTATAAAAACTGGAAGCTTAAAGACGGGTGCCGGTGGCTCACACCTGTAATCCTAGCTACTCAGGAGGCTGAGATCTGAGGATCGAGGTTCAAAGCCAGCTGGGGTAGGAAAGTCTGTGAAACTCTTATCTCCAAAAAACCACTATAAAACCAGAAATAGTGTTGTAGCTCCAGTGGTAGAGCACTAACTTTGAGCTGAAAAAGCTGAGGGACAGCGCTCAGGCCCAGAGTTCAAGCCCTATGACCGACAAAAAAAATTTTTGAAGCTTATTGTCAAATCACATTTATTTAATCTAGTACTAGATTGCCTTTTTTTTAGCCAGATGGAAAACATTAGCAACAATAGTGAACAAATATTCAGGCTCCCAAAGGTCATTTTTAACCACCATTAACGATCTGGTTTTCACAGATTGGTAATATACAGAAGGCAACAGTCCAGGAAAACTGCACAAAAGGCAACCAAAGCTGCTTCTGTGCTCCTTATTTACCCAATGTTTAACTATTTTTTGAACATTTTGCAAGAGAGAAATTGTATTCTTTCAAGCTACAAATTGCAACTCAGAAGTTGCAACAAAATATTTGTTTGAAATAGACACAGATGCAGAATATTAATAAAACCTCTACAAAGCTGAGATGGGAAAGCTTATTCTTAATATCACTATCAGATTTTCCTGTGGTTAATGCTTCTATTTATTAGCTACTTAGTCATTTCAAATCTATATTAAGCTACTAATTGTGAAATGGAAAAGAAATGCATGTTGGAATACCATATTTCAAGTTATAAATTTAATGATCAAATTAAAACAGAATGTAAGATAAGCAGGCCAGGGGCTGGGAAGGTGGCTCAGTGATAAAGCGCTTGCCTTGCATGCTTGAGGCCCTGGGTTCGATTCCTCAGCACCCATAAGCAAAAAAAAAAAAAAAAAGCCGGAAGTGGCACTGTGGCTCAAGTGGTAGAGTGCTAGCCTTGAGCTGAAGAGCTGAGGGGCAGTGCCCAGGCTCAGAGTTCAGGCCCACGACCGGACAAAAAAAAAAAAGATAAGCAGGACACAAAATACACTAATCTATATGAATCCAAAAGGTCTAGTCTATAACATGATAACAATGTGGCTTCTACAACTGCCTATTTAAGAACAAATGATCTGCTGGGCACCAGTGGCTCATGCCTGTAATACTAGCTATTCAGGAGGCTGAGATCTGAGGATCACAGTTCAAAGCCAGCCTGGACAGAAAAGTCTCCATGGGAGTCTTATCTCAAATTAACCACTCAAAAACCAGAAGTGGTGCTGTGGCTCAAGTGGAAGAGCACTAGAATTGAGCACAAAGAGGCTCAGGGACAGAACCCAGGCCCTGAGTTCAAGGCCAACCAAAAAAAAATAATAAAAGAACAAATGATCTCATTTCAAGCATGCTTTGAGCAGTTAAAAAGAATTTTAGAATTATATAGTTTTATTGACACCTTGTAAGTACATAGTTTTATAAGTGTATGTTTTTCTTCTTGTCTTGTTCTGGTTCAATACTGACTGCATGACTATGAAGTTTCTACTCAGATGTACAAAACTGCAAATAATATGCAATTATCTTCATTTCAAAATACTGTTTATTACACTTAGGCATGGTAGCACCTATAACTCCAGGAGGCTAAGGCAGGAAGATCTCAAGTTCAAACCAAGCATGGGGTAAATAGTGAGATCTTATCTCAAAAACTTTCTAGACTCTCTTGTTGCTTTGCATATTAAAGATTTGTTATAGATCTTCATGCTACTCTTCTTTAGATAATAGTATGTTTTAAGAAAAAATACTGAAATCTATAATTAAAAGATTTTACAGATATTTCCTCATTATTTTCTTATTATATGGAAAAGAAAGATACAATGTCACGATTCAAGCATGCCAGAGCCAAGCTGGGAAGATGGTTCAGAGGTAGAGCACTTGCCTTGCATGCATGAGGCCCTGGGTTCAATTCCTCAGCACCACATAAGCAGAAATAGCCGGAAGTGGTGCTGTGGCTCAAGTGCTAGAGCATTAGCCTTGAGCTGAAGAGTTTAGGAGACAGCACCCAGGCCCAGAGTTCAGGCCACGACCGACCAAAAAAAAAAAGTGCCAGAGCCTATATAGAGAGGTCATGGCCAGGAAAAGTGGAAATGAATGCTATCTATTAGAGAAAATGGTTGCCATCTGAGAACATAGGGCTGCCAATATATCTGTAACTATGCATTTGCATATGTGCATATATGTCTATATACACATATGTTTTTACATACACACATGCATGTGCATACACATAGTCCTGACAGCCATTAGGTAAAATATAGAATTACCATTTGCAATTTCATGTTGAGGATTTTCCTGTCTGTCTATGACACTGTAGTATAGGTTGCTGCTTTAGGAAAAATTCTGTTTCCCTCTTTATAGAAATTTTTACCTTGACAATGAAATCTCCCAGTATTCCTACAAGTGCCTGGGGCCATTACATTCCATTTCTTGCTAAGGGAAATGAATAGTGAGGAGAGAATTGAAGTGATGAATTTAGGCCTACGCCGTAATTTAGAATTTACAACCTCCTGGGGTTCCTCTCAGTAACAACCCAAGACACTTTATTGAAGTCTTCTTGTGTGTCCAGTTCTTTAAGGCACTAGCCATAGTGAAGACAGAGCTCCTGTTTTTAAGTAGCACAAGGCCCAATGGGTGAGGAAGGGGAAGAAAGAGCACTATGCCTAAGACCTGTACAAGGTGCTCTGGAGACAGAGAGGAGAGGGCTAGCCCCTGGGGACCAAGGAGGGGAGAACCCATAAAACCTTGTCAGAATGCTTTTAGCTGTACTACCACCACTCTTTAGACAAAGGCGGAAAATTTAATTAAATTATGTGGATATTGAGGAAGTCTATTTGAAATTTGAAAATATAATTATTTGATTAGCTGAATGAGTGGATTTCTTTGGTACATTTAGGGATTTTCTGGATTACGCCGACTCACTCTTCATCAATATTTGCTTTTTATCTTGCCATCATTTTACTTGGCACATAAGCCAAATTGATAAGAATAACAATCTAACTTTGTGCAAAAGTACAGTTAAATCTCTTTTGTTGGGTTTGTTTTGGGTTTGGTGCTGGGGATTGAACTGAAAGCCTTGTTCATGTGTGTTACCACCCTAATTCCACAATATAGTTTTTATTGGTCCAATGTGAGTAGTCCAGAGAGTATTAGGAAACAAGTGAGCATTTTACAAACTAATCGAGAACCGATTTCCTATTTTTATTCAAGTTAATTTAAAAGAAAAAGAAAATCAAGTCATCAATTACTAGAAAACGCTCCAGACTGATTACTGCTCCCCAAAGGACAATTCAAGGCCTTCTATCATATTCTTTTCCATTGTCCCACATTTTAGAGACCTCCAAATTTTTATAGGCTCTGCATCTGAGATCTTAAGGGTCTCCTAGTTGAAACTGGGCTTCTTCACTTCAAGGAAGAGGAGAATGCTGATAAGATTTCTGCCTGAAATCTTGACTGGCTCAGCCTCTCCTTCTGCCTACTCCAGCAATCACCATTGTTGTCAAGAAAGGGTAGACAGTGGTGGCTAGTGAGAAGAAAAGATAAATAACGTCAGAATCCTGCATTCATAAAGTTGCTGTCCACAGGCAAGGCAGGCTCTGCTCTCATTTTCTCATTGCTCTTTCCATAGTTCTGGGGAACTGTACACGAGTAAATGAGAACATCTGGTTCTGAAGACTTCTAACCTCAGTTGATACTAAATGAACTCTTTGTACATTTTAAAAGAAAAACTTTCAGAAAACAGCCTCAGTGAAACTAATAACATTTTTCTTCTGTTTTTGTTTTAAAGGTGAACACACACAAGAAACCAATTCACCTCATTCACTTAAAAAAGATGTAGAAAATATGGGAAAAGGTAAAGAAAACTTTTAATGCCTATAGGATTTCTTCTCTCTGACTGAGGAGATAAGAGGAGGATATTTTTGTTCTGTGCCATATTTTAAGCTTGACAAGCAACATATGAATAATATATGGACCATTGGGTGGATATAATTGAGATTAATGCATACATATCAATCAATACATGACACTGTAATACAATACTTTAAAATAATATATTGCATTGATTTATATTCATGGATTTCTGCACAAAATCTATCCTGTGTCTATGCAACTCTTTTTAAACTGGTAAAATATTTTGTCTTATAATAATAAATTGCCATATATAATGGTTCTCTGGAGAGTTATTTGTAAAGATTAGTAAAATGACTCTTCTTTTTTCTCTATTAGAAGAACTTCAGAAGGTTTTATTTGAACAAATAGATTTACGGAGACGACTAGAACAAGAATTCCAAGTGTTAAAAGGAAATACATCTTTCCCAGTATTCAGTAAGAAGTCACTTTTATTACATTTTTGACATTTGATTGCACTCCTATTACTAATACCAAGTACATGATTCTAAGTATGAAGTGATTAAGCACAAATCTCCCAGACCTCCCATGGATTGTCCAAATATTCATAAATTTTAGTTTCTTATGCATGCTTTGATTTGGTTCACAGATACAATTTCTTATAAAAACTTTCTATTTTTATGTATTGATATATGTGTATGGTATGTGTATGTATACACATGTTATATAAGTATTAAAAGATGTACATAAGCATACAATTCCATATGTAAGTCTACTACTATATTCAGATTATATTTAGATTATAATTTTGAAATAAAACAATTATTCAGGTATTATTCTCTAAGATAGGAAAAGAAAAGAGAAATCACAATTAACTTTTATTCTCAGATAAGTCTGAATCACTGCTTAGGGTTTAGATAAGTATAATTATGAAAATTGAAACTTTAACTGTTCGAGGCACACAAATTTACAGTAGTTTCTCCTTATTCTTAGGAGACATATTCTGAGATCCACTGTGGACACTTGAAACTTCAGATAATATTGAATCCTCTATGTACTTCCTATATACCCATATCTATGATAAAGTTTAATTTTCAAATTAGATACAGTAAGAGATGCACAACTATAACTAATAATAAAATGTAAGCACATATTATAATAAAAGGTATTATGGAATCTTACAGTTAATATTTTTGCACCATGATTTACTGAGGAAAGTGAAAGGGAGGGAGGCTACCATGATTAAAGTTGTATCATTTTAGCAGTATTTTTGTTAGTTGTGAAACTTGAACCCAGGGCTTGGGCACAGTCCCTGAACCTCCTTGTGCTGCTCAAGGCTAGCATTCTACCACTTACACAGCTCCACTTCCAGTTTTTGAGTGGTTAATTGGAGATCAGGGTCTCATGGGGACTCTTCAGCTGGGGCTACCTTCCAATCACGATCCTCAGATCTCAGCCTCCTGAGTAGCTAGGATTACAGGCCTGAGCCATGGGTGCCTGGCTTCATTTTAGTATTTTTGCATTCTCAATTCATTTTTCATGTTAAAATTCCACTCCAAATGTGTGAGCAGACGTTGTTGCCTAACAGCTTTTTTTTTTCTGTCATCATTGTAGAACTTTAAAAACACTTTGTAGTAATACTAAGATTTCTAAAATTCTTTGGTCTAGTCTGGGTCACATTTGGATTAATACATTCTAGGAGATTTCCCCAAGGTTTTTGGAGTATATTTAATCCTAGTCTCATCTTCAGAGAAAGAAAAATGAAAAAGAAAATAGCACGCAAACATTTTTCAATATCTAAATGTTAAATGAATTTTTCCAGGGATACTTTTTTAGAATGTCAGCATGCCCTTTGCTATTAATCTGGGCATCTCAAAACCTGAGTTGGCAATTCTTGTGCCAGAGCCACAGACTAGCATATGGAAGAATTTCCAGTAACTGACCATTTCAGTTCTATCCAAAATGCCAGGAGGGAGACCTGCATGCTGCACCAGCGCTTCCCTATGTTTTGGTCAGCACAACTCAAAAAGTAAACAAAAAACAGGCTCAAGATCATTTGTAAACAGATCGGGTTTCATATATATAGGAGTAAGGACTCAGTACAAAGGTAACTGCATGATTGAAGGGAGCACTGACCAATCACGGGAGCAGCAGGGTCTGCCACTTAATGATCTCTTGGGAAGTAAAAGGGAAGTTTAGGATTCGCAGGGTTCAGAGAATGTCTCTGAACCTTAGAATAAAATTGAGGGTAGGAACATAGTCAATAGCTTTTGATATGTGTAGATTTGAGAAAAGAGGATCATTGAAAACATATTTGAAGCTTTACAATTTTTCAAAAGGATCCAGGATTCTCTAACTTCTAAAATTGTACCTTAAGGGAGATTATTTCTTACAATTCCTTCAATCAGTGAGCAGACATTGAATGACTTGTGTCCCCATAGCTGGGGTTTATCTAATAGTTGAGTTCATGGATCCCTGCTTTTAGACCCAGCAGAGTAAGTCCAAATTTTACTGAATCTCTAAGTTCTCTATCAGCATTTCCCAAAGCCTTTATAGTCATAATTTATTCTATTAATAAAAGCTAAATTAATATTCATCTGAAAGAATCCACAATAACCATTAACTTCCAACGCGAGACACGTACAACATGTTTATGTTTTTAAAAAATGTTATAGTGATACAACTGACCATTTACAACTCAGATGGAACATTCATCTTTACTTTGTTTCTTATTTTGTTTTGGGGGTTTTTGTTTTGTTTCCTTCTTTTGGGTTTTTTTTTGGTTAGCACTTGAGTTTGAATTCAGGGCCTAAGTGCTGTGCCTTACTTTTGCACTAAAAGCTACTACTCTACCACTAGAGCCACAGCTCCACTTCTCTGGCTTTTTGCTATTTAATTAGAGAGAAGTCTCATGGACTTTCCTGCCCAGGTTGCCTTTAAACCTTGATCCTCATTATCTTTAGCCTCTTGAGTAGCTAGGATTACAGGCATGAACCACCAGCACCCAGCTTATTCATACTTTTGGTCTGAATTAATTTGTGTCCTCTGTAATTGCCATATACATGAAACATGTTTGTTAAAAAAGACAAAATTTTCTCCTTTTTAATCTATAACATACTCTACTAAGCAAGGAAGTTGTACGTGTGTGTGTCACAAGTCTTGAGTAATGCATGGTTCAGACACATCACAAAGAGACAGTCAATTGTGCACAGATGAAAATAGCATATGTACATGGTATTTTGTAACTAAATGTGAGGGGCCCGTGGGGCTAGCAGACAGACTTAAATTCACTCCAATGAAAAGGAGAAACCCCCATTTTGTAAAAACCATATCAGAATAAAAGCATAGAGGAATCTCTGTAGGAGTTTTCTAATACCATTCATGAGGAGGTGGATAAGCTAATGCCCCTAATATAAAACACTGTAGCACTTGCATATCACATAATATATCCTCTGATATATCTCAAATCACCTCTACAGTACTTACAATCCCTAATGTAATAGTAAACAGTTGTTATACCATATTGTTTAGGGAATAATGGCAAGAAGAAAATATAGATGTTCAGAACAGATGCAGTTAAAAAAAATGTTTCCATCTAAGATTGGTTGAAGCCACAAATTCAAGACCCTTAGGCCAACTGCATACTAAAGGTAGATTTTGCGCTTTGATAAATTTCTTTCTCTATCTCTCTCTCCTACCAGATAACTTTCAGGATCAGATGAAAAGGGAATTAGCCTACAGAGAAGAAATGGTGCAACAGTTACAAATTGTAAGATATATTTCTACTTCAAAATTTCTGCTGCAAAAAAACAAACAAACATAGTTTGATGGGGTTGTTTTCAACTCCCTCAATCTGTATGAAACTGTGATTTCTGCCAGGAAATCTTTTGGTCCACTTACCTCTCAGCTGGTTGAGATGCTAATTACCAAGAGATTTACTTAGGCACAAAGTAAACAGATGCGACAGTATGTTTCCTCCAAATGTAACTACCTCCCATGTGTTAATAGACAGATGTGTACATTGTCTCTGTGGGCAACCAAAGATACCTGCATTTCCTCATATTCTGCAAACTTCAGACCACAGTGCTGGGGTACAGTGGGGCTGGGCAAAGGGTTGCTGTCTTCTGTACTTTGCTTCTTTCTCCAGCCAGGTTCTCTCTAGGGTCAAAAGAACTTAATATCCACACAAACAGTAACAGGCACTTCAAGGATGATAAAAAGAAAGAATTATCGCATAAAGTCTGTCAGTCTGTCCTACCCATTCCTTCCTTTGAGTGCTCTATTTATATGGAAATACCCCCAGAAAGAGATCTGATTAATGGAGCACTTTTGTTTGTAGTTTTTGTTCCCTGAATTCTTCACCCTGTATCCTCACATAGACACATCTGGCATTATTCGTTAGTGCTTTTAAATAGATCTCCCAAGCGTCCTCATTTTCTTAAGTAGAATGGAGAAAAGAGTTTCTGCACATTATTCTCAGGGTATTTCTGGTCACCTGGATAAAGACATATGCTGGTCTTTAGTATTATTACCAGCATTATTACTATAATTTGGGTTGTTTGAGATGTTTGAGCTGATATCTATTATTCTTAGACTATTAAGCATGTGTCTATGCACATCTTGTTCTAAGAGATAAGCATCTAATTCTCTGTCAGGATTATTTAAGAAATACAGTTGTCAATGTCTCCTTTCTGTATTAGAAAAATCATATTTGTGTTTATAGAGATTCCTGATAGTTGTTTTAAAAGAAATATTGGATTTCATCATTATTTGTCCCATATTAAGGGTCAGTTGCTTGTAACTCTATACTGCCATTTGCAGCTCAAGTGCTCATTAGCTCCCAGATCTGATAAACTCTGCACAGTATGCTGCTGCAACAAAGTCTACATTTATGTATTAGTTTTGTGTGTGTGTGTGTGTGTGTGTTGTTTGAACTGAAATTCACTGGGGAGTACTGGATTTTGTTAATGGGTTGATAATAAATCTCCCACAGAGGGTTAAAAAGAAATGTGTATCTTACTATTCTCAGCTTCTGATTTCTAGATAATATGAGCTATACTCACTTGCTGTGAATATATATATATATATATATATATATATATATATATATATACATATTGTTTTCCTCCTCCAAAGGAAGAAATTAAATGTAAGATTGGAGGCAGAGGGCAAAAATTACTTATTTTACACAGGGCATCATTTCCATATTTTTGAGAAAAATTTCCATATACAAAGCAAGCAAAAATTATCATTTCATTGTGACAGCAAGTATAGCAAAATGGACTTTTGGAAAGCAAACTAAATATTCATTTCAGAATCCCTTCTTAAGGCCAGATTTGATTTGTTTTTCTTTTTGTGATGGTCCTGGGGCTTGAACTTAGGGCCTGGGCTCTGTCCCTGAGCCTTTTTTGCTCAAGTCTAGTACTCTACCACTTGAGCCACAGCTCCCCTCTGTCTTTTTTGGTGGATAATTGGATAAAAGAGTCTCATAGACTTTCCTGCCTGGGCTGGCTTCTAACCATGATCCTCAGAGCTTAGTCTCTTGAGTATCTAGGATTATAGGCATGAGGACTGGAGCCTGGCCAGATATGTAATTTTAATGCTTATTTTTCTTTAACATTTTATTTCTTTTATAAAAGAGGAAACGATATTGCCTTCATGTAACAAGCAGGTAGTATTTATAGAAAAGGAAAATGTCTCAGGACTTTTGAGATATTTAGTCCCTGGAAGATATGAATTGGTATGAGTAAACAGTTTTATTATACTGTGTTGCAAAATATTTTATCATCATGTATTCATCAATCTAGACAAGTGTTACTCATTTATATTCCTGTAGATAGTAAAGTATTCCTGGTAGCAAATTAAGCAGTTTGCAAGAAGCTAGAATATTTCCCCTAGCCTGGTAGGTACAATATAATTCCTGATATTCATAAAAATACATTTGGGCTAACAACATAAAAATTGGTGTAATAGACATAATTTGTCCCTTCTGCTTCCTCTGCTTCCCTTGGGACTGCTACCACAAGAAGACCCAGAACATCACCCTGCCTCCAGCACCTCATACCAACCCTAGTACTAAGTAATCAGAAGCCTATGCTTATTGAATATATCACCATCTATAACTCCCACTGACCCAACTCTGATAAACAGATAGCAGTCCTCTTAATTCTTTACCAAATTCTCTTGGTCCTGATGCCCTCAAATGTTCTTTTATACCTTAAACACCTAATACAGGAAAGCATACTAGTGAATTAACACAAAGCTTAGGTACAACTACTGCTCAGTCTGCCACTAATAGGCATGAGCTTTAAAGTCTGCACACTTGGGCTCAAGACTCATCCTTTCAGTTCATGGAAATGTCGGTTCCCTCAAAAAGAAAGGATTGTAAGGCTTAACCTGACAGGGCGATTGAAAGGTACATGCACATAATAAACATGAACTGCACATGCCAACAGTAGGGTAATGCCAGCATGAGTGATCAGTTGAATGTCATTGCCCTTATCAAAGGAGTATCTCTAATAGTGGAATTAATAAGCCTTAATAGCCAGTGTTGTTTTTGTTTAGGAAAGATTCATATCTTCTGTTTGTTTTGTTTTTGGGTCGGCTCGTTAGCCTGAACTCTGGGCCTGGGCGTTGTCCCTTAGCTCTAAAGCTCAAGGCTAGCGCTCTACTACTTGAGCTACAGCGCCACTTCTGGCTTTTTTCCTTTTTGCTTATGTGGTGCTGGGGAATTGAACCCAGGGCCTCATGCATGCAAGGCAAGTGCTCTACCACTGAGCCACCTTCCCAGCCCAAGATTTATATTTTCTATGTGCCTGCTATAGAAATGAAACAACAGACTCAATATTACTTGAACAGTAATTTATCTAGTTCTGTATTCAGCTTTATGTATGTCCTAAATGGAAGGAGTTATCTTTTGAAAAAATCCTCTTCTACCAGTACTGGGGTTTAAGCTCAGAACCTCTCACTCATTTGGCTTGTCTGCTCAGCTGGTGTTCTACCACTTGAGCCACACCTCCAGCCTAGCTTTTTGCTGATTATTTTGAAGATAGAATCTCATAGTCTTTTCTGCCTGCATGGAGTTGAACCTCAATCCTCCAAGTACCTGACTAGAAAATTCTACCTAGAGATTATTAAATGGAGTTACAAATCTTTCTGAATATTTGTTGAATGAGTATATTCACCAGTAAATAGGATTGCATAGTTTCCTTCCTGAGAGAAGAATAATCCATTTAAAATGATTTTATATTTAAACTTTACAGAGCACATATTATAGAATAGGCCTCTTTTTTCTTTAGATGAAATATAAACCTAGCTTACCTTGTAATCATGAAGAATTCAAATATATTAAAGCCATCATATTTTGTAATGATTCCCATAGACCCACAGTGCATTTATGCTATTTTGTTACACAGTGTTCCTGTTCAAAAGACTTATATCAAAAGCATCCTGGGTATCATTACCATAAAAAAAGAAAACTTATGAATTTCTTTGGATCCTACATTTTTAGATTCTCTGCTGACTGATTTCTCCACCAGTGCTTCATTTTCCAGTTTGTTAACTGCAAAGTTTTGATAACTATACAGGCAAATGATTGGCTGTCCTTGTACATTTATGAATGGATGTATATGCATAGCAATGTGAGATTTAAATCATATGTACAGTTAATTTATGTTAACTTTTATACATGGTTACAAGTTATCTCTTCTAAATACTGGTTTAAATTTTGAGCTTTGTAGTATTTGACAGTCTGCATCTAAGACCTTTCATATTTCATGCTCTGAGTTTTTGAAGACTTAAAGCATTTTCTTTACTAAACTGGATTTATTTATACAAAACAAAGATATTTATTATTCTCACTAAGAACTAAACAGATTTAAAATTTAGCAAGTTCATGAAAATGTAAATATTCTGTATAATAAAGGACAGAGGACTTCTCATTTCCAAATGGATTGTGATTGTAGGAAACATACCTTCAATTTAAAAACTAAAATCCATTGTCCCTTAAGATTAGAAAAAAGCAGAAGATACTTCACTCAGTGAATAACCTTTTGATTAGTTATTCTAGGAGCATGAATATATTCAAATACAACCTGATCTGAGACCATTAGATTGCTTGATAATCTTTTAAATATATATATATATATATAGTCTATTTTTCAAATTGCTAATTTGGCAATAATTTTTATGCATGTATATCTGTGTATAAGTTATTGCAATTTGTTGAATGTATGGTTTTTGTAGTGTCTTTTCTTTCTTTTTCCTCTGTTTTTAAATCCTAGTTCTTGAAGGACAGTGTAAAAAAAATTACTTAGCATATGAGCCACCCAGACTGACATCCTTCAAGCTTGCTTTATAGATACCATGAAGCAGGTAGATTGTGCTGGTCTTAAAGTGCCCTCTGCTGTTTTCACAGAATGCTACAGTCACATGCAGTTATGGAGAAACAGCCCCAAAGTTCTTCATTAAAAGCTTCAATTGAAATAATGTTCAATCAGTAGATTTAGTACTAATGTTTCATCCACTGTGGACTTGTAAAAAAGCCGTTTACCTCTTCCCAATGGTGGTAGCACAATGCTTCATCACAGGGAAAGGAGCAATGGGTCCTTGTCTTTGTTGGCAAGCACTGGCTCTTGGGCAAGGACACAGCTCCACAGTGGTAATGTCTTTTCTTTGGAAGTGCTCCAGTATTCAATAGCCTTGAAACTTGCCTGGGTTTCTGTGGCTCAGCCTAGACACTTCTTTTAAATATGTCGCCCTCCTACTCCCCTTTTTTTAATAGGCAGAAATTTGCTTTTTGCTGCTATATAATCAGAAAAAGATTCCTGGATCACTGGAGGATGTTGGTTTTGTGACTTAGTGTGCATCAAAAGGAAGTCCCTAGACTTGATGCAAATCTGAACTTCTGAAGATGCCTTCTGAAGATTCTCCAGCAACAGACCTTGGCTACTGCGCATCTTTTCCTAGTCGCTGATCTAGTGCCCTCCATCTTGACAGTGCACTCACTTCATCTCACTTTGAGATGGTGACTCACTTGAGTGCCTGAACTCAGGCTCTTTCTTAGCACAAAGAAGGAAATTGTCTTTTTTTTTTTTAGTAAGGTCCCAATAATTGCGGTCTGTTATAGTCCACTGAGTCATTTTGACGTTATACACTTCCAATTTGGGGTCAACAACCATCTTAATGGTTTCCAAACTGTCCCAAATGAATAGGAAGCTTCTGTAAACCTATTGTAAGAGATTTCTGTGGAACAACTAGCTTAAATGAAGCCTTGAGAATCCCAAGTTTCCTGGTCGAGAATGTCTGTCATATCTAGAAATCCAGTTTTATATTTTGTGGATTCTGAAACACTATCTGATTAGGAGACACCTTTGCTTCATGAATCATGAAGAGAAAAACTTTTAACAGTAAGATACCACCAATTATAATACATGCAATATTAAGAATTTAAAATATGGTGGAGCATGTCTTGCAATCAATGGAGTCATGTAGTTTTTATGAACCAGTGAGTCCTTGGGATAAAATAATTTGTATTATTCATGATTTAGGACTTCTGATTAAAAGTACGTGATGCTCAGCTGATAACTTTTATTGTCTTTATTGTTGTTTGGCTTGTCTTTTATTTTCATTTAAATAAGTAAAACTAGAATCAGAGTTCATGTGGGGATAATTCTTCACAGCAATTTAAATTCTAGCTGAGCGATGGGATTCAAATGTGCTTACTTGGAAATGTCTTTTTTCCTCTTCCTTCTCAACTATCTACCCTAATGAAATTCTTCCTGCAAAAAAGAGAAAGGCATCTTGACTTAGCTCTGAAAGCAGTGATCTTCCAGTCATTTTTTTCGAATTAGTGTCTGCTGTTTACTTGCACTAGTGATGTTAATTTACATCTCCCAGTACTTGGCACAGAACAGACACTAATGCTTGCAGTACCTAATCTTAATGTAAAAATGGCACAAACAACTCTGGAAACTCAGTGTGCCCCATAGTTGTTTTTTAAAATCATTTCTTCTCATCTAACAGCATTTCATTTGAGACTGGTAAATTAGGCATTTAACAAGAGAGGTGACCTTTGTGCTTTGATGTATTCCAGTATACAACACAATGGAAACCAAGATTCAAGGGTGTCTCTTTGAATAGCAGGTGTAGCATAACCTACAGTGAAAAGAAGAGGTAATTAGAGTAGGTCCCCATGTAGGTGTTCTTGTCATAGTTATCTATCTGATCTCAGCCCACGTCTGAAAATAAGAGATTAGGATACTGAACTTTTTATGTTACTATATGAATCATTAATTTCAAGGCTTCTACTTATGCCCTTTATCAGATATGTGCCTACGTGTAGCTTGTGGTTGTGTATCAAAATAAGGATATGATTATTTTTATCTTTTTTCTTTCCATTAAAAAGTGTTGGATTAGACTTACCTATTATGATAGTAAAATGGTGTAGATCCTTTTAATCACCAACATCATTGTGAATTCATAGCCTTGTCCTATTACTAAAGGTTTGCATGTGTGGACTGGTGGATTAAAGAATAAAACATACTCCATTGACATGCTAGTAATGTATAAATGTATATAACAGCAATTGAAGTTACTGCCTAAGTGAATGAAAATCATTTTAATTTCCCTTACTGTTTTATGTAACATGATATATTCTAAAAGTCTGAGTATTTGTTTCTTTTAATGTAAAATAGATCCAAATCATTATAGTTCTGAGGTTAGCCTTGTAATGATGCTGGTAGGTGACATAATGATTGAAGAGAGCCTTAACTGGAGATTGTGGAGAAGCAAAGCTAGATAATATGTCGAACTCATTTTGAGTCATATGAATTTCCTAATGAAAAGTATATCAGATGTGGTAGGCTTTGTTTACAGTCGCAGTATACAAAAGTATTTTCAAGTTTATTTGCATAAAAGTTTTGCACCCTAATTTTTATATAGTGCTGTTATTTCTGATGTTTCTTATCAGCTACTAGGAAACTATCCAAAGTCCTAGTTTATACTTATTATTACGAGTTGTAATTTATAAGGATAGCATATTTGGTAAGGAAATCACTGTAATAAACCTAATGATCACATTGAACCAGTTTGTAACATTCATGCTTTGTGACTTAAGAGACATTATAATTCACTTTCATATTTAAATAAAAAAGGAAGAATACCATACTCTTAGAGGTAACATTTTTGAAGGCAAATTTTTAAAGTAGAAGATCACATGTTCGCCTCAGGGACCAGCTGTAACAATCACCAATGTGATCACTACTTCGGTCATCAGTGTGTTTTAGATCAGGCTTTAGCAACGTTGAGCACCTGAGCAGTCCAGAGAAGATGGATCCCTCTTCTCCTCATGGAAGATGTCTTGTCATTCAAATTGCCAGGCACAAGAAAGGATCTCTATTACACATTTATCTCCAAAATTAACCCAAATATTTTTGTTTGTGTCTGCCTTACAGATCCCATATGCAGCAAGCTTGATTAGGAAAGAGAAGCTTGGTGCCCATCTCAGCAAAAGCTAAAAGGGTAAGATCTCCAGAGAAAAGAAGTTTTGTTAAGAATCCATGTTATTTCCGGCTATCTGCTTTTAGTGATATATTTGAAATAGCCAAGGGATTGGTAAAGTTCTGTCCTGTGTTTGTGTTTAGCAGTAAACTTTGCTATACCTGGGAATGGGACTTCCTAAATGGATGGCTAATTCCTTCTTACAAATTCCATGGAAAATTCCTAAAACTAAGAAATTCTCCATTCAAATCTACAAAAGTGACCTTTGTTCTGTTTTGAGGTTTTTCTGACCTTTGAAGATTCTGTCTGGCACTCTTGTTATTGTCCCACTGGAATGTCACTATAATGCTTATGGTATTTCTCCTTTGCTTCCAAAGTCTTCTACAGACCTGACTTTCAATGAATTACTATAGATGATGATATGAATGTTTGAGGGGCACTTTGGACCTTGGAACCCTTCTATTTCAGGAATAATAATTTATTCTTCACCTAAACCAGTAACGAGTTCCTCAGTTGAAACTAGTTCAAGGTCACATACCAGGCAACAATTTAAAAGGCAAATAGGTTGGACAATTTTTTTTTGTCAGTCATAGAGCTTGAACTCTGGGCCTAGGAGCTGTTCCTGGGCTCTTCAGCTCAAGGCTAGCTCTCTACCAGTTGAGCCACAGTGCCACTTGTGGCTTTTTTTGTGTATTTGGTACTGAGGAATCCAACCCAGAACTTCATGCATGCTAGACAAGCACTCTACCATTAGGCCACATTCCCAGCCCCATGTTGGACTCTTAAGGGAAAGCAGACAGTGAGCATTTAATGTCTATATTCGGAACATGCTTATTCATTTTCAAAAGTAATCCTTTGATTCTATGGCAAAGACATGGCCTAACAATTGGAATTGCTAAATCAAGAAACAAGATTACATGCTAGAGGTAAAACTTGTTACTGCTAAAGGCCAACTAGGATTATAACCAGTTTCACTTAGTCTCATCAGTATAATTCTTCTTCTCAGTCCCTCTGGAATTTTCAACCCAACAGAATTTATTGGAAAAATCTTCTTTACACTGTAGGCTTCTGGTTCCTCTTCTTGACTTCACACATTTCTCCTGCATGTCACATCTTCTCTATCATGTGTAGATGACAGTCTTACTTCTTGCCTCATTATTAATGATATTTTTCAATATTTGCCTTCAATCATGATAATTAGGTCACATTTCATCAGACATTCAAAACACTTTCCAAAACAGACTTCTACTCATACACTCTCTTTTAAGTTTGCACACAGAGAACTTAAAGCACAAAGAAACAGTTGTAACATTTTGAGTCTGTGTTCTAAACAGAGAGCTTAGGGATCCCAGGTTTAGATGAAGTGCCTGACTGCTCCAAAGGTGTGGAATTCTTGTCCTCAGTGAGTATATGCTTCTGTAGCAGAGATGCTCAGCGAGTAAGTCATTCAGTTTCCATCTCCACAAAGTGAAACAGAAACATTCCTATGAGTTTGGTTCTGATCTATATTTTAAAGTATTACTAGGTCTGAAGTTGACCTTGGACAATCTCTTTTACATTGTAATGGAACCAAGTTGGCACCAGTAATGTGAAAATTTTAGAACATTCTGATTTAATTCAAGATAATCAGGTCAAGTGTTAATTCTGATAAACTCCACATGCATAATAGGTGAAAGCGGCAAATAAATAATTTTCTTTCAAGTCAAAGAGAAACTATTAGCCTGGGCTTTAAAGTAACCTTTTTTGTTGAAGTATAATATGTGTTCCATAAATTCTGCAAGTCATAAAGTTATACAAATCATGAAATCTGCAAGTCAAAAATGAAGTAAATTGTCACAAGATAAACTCATTTAGGCTTATAACCCTCACTAACAACCTCATGTTCCCTCCAACTTCTCCCACTTCCTTCTCCCAATACAGGTCCATTTTATCTGCTTTTTTGAACTTCATGTAAAGGACATTATATAGAATGTTTTCTTTTTTCTTCCTTTTTTCTTTTTGTCGGTTGTGAGACTTGAACTCTGGGCCTGGGCGCTGTCTCTGCACTCTTCAGCTCAAGGCGAGCACTCTACCACTTGAGCCACAGCACCACTTCCAGTTTTCGAGTGGTTTATTGGAGATAAGAGACTCACGGACTTTCCTGCCCCGGCTGGCTTTGAACCATGATCTTCAGATCTCAGCCTCCTGAGTAGCTAGGATTACAGGCATGAGCTACTGGCGCCCGGCTAGAATGTTTTCTTGTATCTGATATCTTTTATTTAGCACTTGTGAAGTTCAGCCATTAGAATCTAGGTTGATTTATATATAGGTACTTCAATAAACTCCCATTCTTTCCACTTCCCATCTCTTCTTCCTGCTTGTCACAGAGGAGACCATCTTACACCTATAAAAAGAAGACTCCATGCCCTGAAACCACACCTCTAATAGTGACATAGCTCGTGGCTAGGTGGGGAATAAAAAGAAAAACAGATTGATTTGTGTTTAGTAACTAATGCTTCCTCCATGCTGATTTTGTTTCCATCCTTGCAGACAACAGGGATTTCTCTAAGTAGACCCTGGTGCTTTCAGAAGATTAGTGGTTACTTAAATGCTTAGCTAAATCAGCCAAGCAGAGAATCACGGCCATATTGTTAGAGGCAGTCTCTGGTTCTGCCACATGCCAAGCCTGTAAGGAGTTACCCCAAGAGAGATTACAAAACAAAAATCATTACAACACGGGAAAGAAACAAATTCTGTCTTGCTCAGTGACCACAGGTTTCCAAATTAGGGACTGATGCATTAATGTCTCATGCAAGAGTGACCCTTAAGGTAGTATGCTGTGTGCTTGCCACCCAATAGATTCCAATATGACTATTAAGGAGAGGAAGCTTTTCAAAACCACAGGCAATCCACTTAATAAGAAGAGCAAGTACTGCCACATATCACTACTCCACAGATCTTTTTTTTTTGTCCTATACTAGAACATAAGAAATTCCATGTTAAATCAAAATACAGGTCCATCTGGGCCAGGATACTAACTATAATTCTACCACAAAGCCAAATAGCTTCTCTGAATAATATCAACCTCAAAATTTAGTCATATACACTGAATACTCTTAGCTTGCTCTTGATAAATCCTTAAGTATTCACTATCCATGGATTTATCTAAACCTTTCTTCAATTTAAGCAGTCCCCTTTGGGGCAACGAATTCTATTTGTTTAGCAACCAGCTGTATAAAATGTAGATGGTTTACTTATCTTCACACAACCACCTATTATTATTAGATTAGATAGCGTACAACTGTGTGAATGTGTTGCATTGTGAGCTTATGAGTACAATGGAAAGAACTTTTTGTTGTTGCTGTTGGTTGTGGGGCTTGAACTGTGGGCTTGGGCGCTGTCTCTCAGCTCCTCAGCTCAAGGCGAGAGATCTACGACTTGAGCCACAGCGCCACTTCTGGTTTTCTGGTGGTTAATTGGAGATAAGAGTTTCACAGACTTTCCTCTCTGGGCTGGCTTTGAACCATGATCCTCAGATCTCAGCCTCCTGAGTAGCTAGGATTACAGGCATGAGCCACTGGTGCCCAGCTAGAAAATTTTAATATTTCAGAATGTATTTAAATTATAGAATATATTCTGAACTAGTGTGAGTGTGAATTATTCATTGATTTATGAATTATCCATTGTTCTGGACCCATTTTTAACTCCAGAATGATTCCTGTCATTATCTTTGACTTATTCACTGACCAGTCTTTCAAAGATACTACAGTAGAAAGCACTTCTTTTTTCCCTCTTGCCAGTACCAGAGTTTGTACTTGAGTTGCTTGTGTGGAGGCTGACAGTACAATCTGAGCCATACCTCCAGCCCTGCTGTTTGCTTTGTTTCTTTTCTTGTTTGTTCGTTATGAGACTGAGTCTTTTGGACATTTTGCCTGAATTTTTAATCTCTAAACTTTCTAGATCTTAGACTCCTCAGTAGCTAGAATTGCAGCCACCAATGCCTTATTAAATTTTGAATCACAAAATCTCTAGTCAACTTATGCAGTTTCCATGATGTCCTGATTGTATTAAAAATAAATAAATAAAAATGTAACCTGGGTCATCCAAGTAAAGCCAGCAAGGCCATCAGAGGATGGAATTCTGTCTGCCCATGAATTGTCTTAACATTTGCCCAACAACAAACCAAAGCTTCTAGAGCCAGCCCAATGGCCTTGTTATAAAGAAGGTATAGAAACCAGCCCACTCTGATTGAATAGTTTTAGTTTGGTTTGATATCATCAAAGATGCAGAGTTTGAGACAGCAAGCAAATATGTAACAAGATGCTTTCATATTTACATTTTAAAATGCATTGAAACTATTAAAATGTCTTCTTTTAATGATATAGTTCATTAAGTATTTTTAAAGTATCTGCTTATATGATGCTCAGGCTGTTACTCCACGCTTTTGTCTCCTCCCAGGTACTTGTTCTCCTCTCACTTACTCTTGTTCTCTTGTAAGATACGGCGGCCACTGAGCATTTACGACCTGCAGAAAGACTTCAAATTGAAAGGGCTTGGGAATCCAATTAAAATCAGGTTTGGGAGAACCCAAGGACAAGTGACCTCAAAGCAGCATGGACAACCATGTAAAATAGACTGTTAGCAGCCATTCATTAGTGGGGGGAGGGGGGAGCCAACCAGAGCAGTCAATGCTTGTCACATCTTTTGGTGGAACCAAAGTTGAGTATTTGTGTTTCTAAAGGACAACTGAACCCAGAGCATAGGAAGTGCTGTTAGCCAAAAGACAGTGGGAAAACCAAATGGTCTCAGCACTGTACCCATGGAGCAAGAAGCTCTATACAATTGTCTTTTTACTTTTGAAGAAGTGATTCTAAGTGGAAAGAAAACAGAAGACATGTCCCAGAAGTGGGGATCATGTTTAGACTGTTGGGAAGACATTAGCTGTACAAACCTGCTTTGCAAGGCAAACTGAACAGACACACGTGGCCCTTTCCTCTCTGGTACTTTGCCTGCTGTATGAATGAAGATTGTATTCCTC